GTAGCATGGTACCTGATAAAAGCTGGCACCTGGTAAAAGCTCAGTAAAGAGCAATTTTTAAAAGAAATTAGCATATTTTCCCACCAGGCACAGTGGTTCACCCAACACTTTGGGTGTGCAGGAAGATTACTTGAGGCCAGGAGTTTGAGACCAGCCTGGGCAACATAACAAGATTCTGTCTTAAATTTTTTTTTTTTAAATAAATAAAATTGTAATACTTTGTCAACATTGATACTGGCCTTGAAAAAATATTGTTTTTTTAATATGGCCTAGAAATTATTGTGTGGTACCTTCATAATCTTAATCACTCTTAATATTACCTTTATAACTACAGTTCTTAATAATTTTCTAAGTTTAGTCACATATTAAAAACTATTTATTTACTTAACATGAGACCAAATCACATGGAAATATACACGTTAACATCTTTACTGGTGGTATTTACAAGAGGTATTAAAAAGGAGTTGTCTAGGAGACACTGCAGGAGACAGCATGTGTGATGATTTAGGAGACTTAAAACAGATAATTTGATTTTATTTATATTTTAAGTAAAATCATTGGGAGACAGTGTCACAGAGGATTGATAGAAATTAAATCTCAGTGGCCTTTCAGTTAAAACCTTAAATAATGATAATACCCCTTTCCTCTTGGTTGTAACTTATATGGGGAGATATACATCAAGTTAAATTGAAATTTACATCAAGATACTTTGTCATACCCAAATAAATAAATAGTTTAATGAACCAAAAACTTCGTGAAATTTTCTGACAACAAATCCTTTGAAGGGCAGCTCAGTATGCAGAGAGCTACTGGTTGTAAGGTAGCAGGATTGAGTTGGTGGTTTTATAACACGGAGTCATGACTCATTTGTCAGTTTGAAAATTGATATCAGATGCAAGCAAGAACAAAGAAAAGGGAATCTAGAATTTGATTTCTTTTTATATTTTGGGATCGTCAAGCTTTCGAATATAAATTTAATTTCCTGACACAGCCTTAGTTTAGCCTCATTTGTTTCTTACATTGATTTTCATACGTTCTATTTACTTAAGTATAGTGTTTAACATTTTTGGTATGCTTAGCTTAGATCTTAAATTTATCATTCTTATCCTTATAATTGCCAAAGAATGTTATTTTCTGTAGAAAAGAGAAGAAAATTGTGGTGTCTATGACTTATTGAAAGTATTTTCATAAGTAAATTGATGCTCTTAAAACCAAATACAAATGATCTTTGAACAAGGTGGGTTTAGGGGGCTGAACCCTCCCCCTGAAAATCCACATATAACTTTTGACTCTACCAAAATTTAACTAATAGCTTACTGTTGCCCAGAAACCCAACTGATAACATAATCAACCAATTGACACATATTTTGTGTGCTGTATACATCATATACCACACTCTTAGTATCAAGTAAGCTGGAGAAAAAAATGCTGTTAAGAAAATCACAAATCATAAGGAAGGGAAAACGTATTCAGCGTTCATTAAGTGAAAGTGGATCATCATTAAGGTCTTCGTCCTTGTTTTCTCGCAGTGAGTAAGCAGAGGAGGAAGGGGAATTGGTCTTACTGTCTTGGGTGTCAGAGGCAGAAGAAAACCGGAGTGTAAGTGACCCACACAGTTCAGATCTGCGTTGTTCAATGGTCAAATGTCGTTGGAAGTTGTTATGATAATTTTAGTGTATAATTTTATTTAATTAATTAATTTATTTTTGAGTCAGAGTCTCACTTTGTTGCCCTTGGTAGAGTGCCAGGGTGTTCGAGTTCACAGCAACCTCAAACTCTTGGGCTCAAGCAGTTCTCTTGCCTGAGCCTCTTGAGTAGCTGGGATTACAGGTGCCCACCACAACGTCCAGCTATTTTTTTTTAGAGATGGGGTCTCCTTCTGGCTCAGGCTGATCTCAAACCTGTGAGCTCAAGCAATCTACCTGCCTCAGCCTCCCTGAGTGCTAGGATTACAGGCATGAGCCACCGCACCGGCCCTAGTGTATATACCTTTAGTATAACTAAGTACTTACTTTGGTATCATTAACTGCATTTTTCATCAAAAGTGATGAGGGCTTTGTCTCCTTAGTTTTCGATTTGCTCTAGCGAAAACACCTAATTTTTCAGTAACAATTGATTATTCTTTGAAATGTATCTGGTCTATATAAGTGTAAATTGTATATGTCTTTTAAAAGCCTAAAGGAGAAAAGACAAACGTTTGTAATTGTTTTCTTTGCAAGGTATGCACTGTAATTGCTATATTTAAATATTTGCAAACCTCCACACTGCCGCATGAGCAACTGTGACAAGTGAAACTATTATTGCCAAATGAGAAAAGTTTCTATATTTAAAATTCAGTGTAACAAATTGACATTTTCTATTCCCTTTCCTAATGTTCTCTTGTCCTAACAGATCATTCTTTTAAAACAAAACACAGACCATGAATTTATTTGACTGTCAGGGAGAATTAAACATGAAAAGATGAGATGCTGTGGCTATCACTTTTCATTAAAACCAGCTGCTGTGGTTTTAAAATGCAAACCAGATCAAAATCAGCACAAACCCTGGGGGTTTAATTTATATACTGAAGGAACCAGCTTGTTTTTGAAAGACCACTTCTCCGTCCTTTTTTTTTTTTTTTCTTTAACTCTCAAAGAAACTTGTAAGTCTCTCTCATTATTTGATCTTTATTTATATTGGCACTGTGAGCTAGGAAGACCAAGATCAAAAATTATCTCTATTTTACTGATGAGCCTATTGAGACAGAGGCTTGTCCTGCCCAAGCCAATTAGTGCCAAGGATAGTGTTAGAATTCCAGGCTTCTATTAATGCCTGCATTTTAACCCCATTAGCTCTAGATCCGTAATATTATTCCAGGCTTCTGTCCTGGCCCCAATTCTCTAATGTAGCAATGATGTGCTCTAGTGAGAGCCTATAAGCTCATGAGAACTAACTGTGAAATATTGAAAAGTTTTGTAGGCTACTGTTAATTCATTGACTTGAAATCAGCCATGATGGGAGGACTTATACTATGGAAATAAGCAGTACGAATGAGCTCCTCCCCCTTGCTCTATCCTGAGACTTGATTTACCAGCACATTACTAATGGTGTCTAAATATAAAATTAAGAAGGAAAACACACAACAATAAAAACAATACAGTGTAATAAGTGTAATTTTTAAAGTGCAGTATTTATCTAGGGTAGCACAGATATGTAGTTCTTTGCTTCTTAAATTAAAAACTTTTAAGAAGTAGGTAAATATAGACAACACAAGCAGGAAAACTTGAGTTAAACTTGAGGGTTTTGAAGACCATTCTTAACTATTCTTTAAGAACTAGGTCAAGTCCCAGCCCTTCAGAAAAGTTCTGGCAGCCTTCATGTTTATTTTCTTCTCTGAACCTGTAGTGGATTGAAAGTAGAGCCACATACATTGGATTTAGCTACTTACTGTTTGTTTCATAATGATTACTTTTGTTTTCATAAAAATACAGTAAACTCTTTGAAGAACAGGACATGGACTTCCCTTCTTTCTTTCTTTTGGATAAGTGTTTAATGAACACCTATTCTGTGCCTGGCATTCTTCTTAGTACTTGAGAAGCAGAAGTTATCAAACAAAAATTCCTGTCTCTTCGGAGCGAATAGTGTAGTTAAGTCAGGAATTAATTTAAGTAAAGGAAAAGTCATGCACCCAGTTAAGTACTTACTTCAACAAGTTGTTTATAGTATGAAGAGTGTCTTGATGGTGGATTTAATCCATTCAGGAAGGTTAGTGAAACTTGCCCAAGGATACTGTGGTTGAATGGGAGATCTGAAGAGTGAGAAAGAATTAATGTGAAATTAGCAGGTCCTGAATATCATTTCTGTAGGTGGGCTTTCTATGCTTTCCCAGTCTGAATCAAGTTCTCTCATCATGTGTTCCCATCTTATGGTGAATTTTCCCTTTGTAATAGCAACGGAAAAATTTAATTTTACGTTTATTCATTAAGTGTCTCCTTCTGCCAGCTAGAGTATTGATTCCATAGCTGGTACCTTGTCTGGTTCTCTTCGGCAGTCCCAGTATTTTTCATAGTACTGACACTTGATAGTCACTCAGTAGTAGCTAATGCTTCTACTAGCAACTGTGTCCTTATCACAAAACTGGGTTATGTCCTAATTCTCAGTTAAATTTTATATGAAAAGACAAAGGTCAGAAAAATAAAACAGGATCTAGAATGGTTCAGTGACACAGAACCCAAGAAGAACCAAGTATTCAAGAGTGAATAGATGTAAGTTTTATTTAGAAGAAAGAAGAGATCATTCCATTTAGCAGTAAGGAAGTTTTACTTACTCATCTTATTTAAAGGAAATTTGTTCAATGTGTGAAATAGATTTTAAAATGATTTCTGAAGTTAAAAGTCTGGTATTTATTTTTAGAGTTATTTTCTTGTGAGAAGTAAAAAGAATCTGTAAATGAACACAGTTTGAGGAAAAAAAACGTATCTAGCATTGTCACATGTGCTTTGCAGGAAGGAAGGAATACAAGGGGGGGGGGAAGGAAAATGACATATAGGCAACAAGACTGGAAGGCAAAGAGGACTTTAATGGTTCTCTTTACATGAGACGGCTCTGGCTAATACTTTCTCCCTCCTACTTTTCTGTATCTCTCACTTTTTTCATTTAATGACTCTATTTGACTTTCATAATGAAACAATAAACAAAATAACATCTCATAAAATTGACAGTTGATTGTATTTTGGCAGAATATAGAATTATTCTGTAAACTTGGAGGATTCATAACTGTGTTTTAGATTTTTCTTTCATTTACCTAAACGTATTTGCATTTGATTTCTTTTTTTTTTTTTTATGTGTTCATCTATGTGTGTCTCTGGAGCCAGAGTTCTTTGAGGGTACAGATGTTTATCTTCGTATTTATAGCATCATTCCTGGCAGTAACACGTATTTGTTTAATGAATAACTTTTGAAACTGCTTGCATTGGTCCTTTTATTGCCTTTAATCTTTGTACCTTTCCTTTTTTAGAACATAGGTGTGAAAGCCACCATGAATGGTCATATTTCTAATCACCCCAGTGGTTTTGGAGTATACCCATCTCAAATGAAGTAAGTCAAAAGGTTTATATTTAATTTGTTTTGGGGGACTTTGATAAGGTGGCTTCGATTTGGTTGTTTTGATTGTTTAATATCTTTAATGAAATAGCTTCATTTCTTTATATAGTTCATTCCTCATTAATAATAATAACTTTGTATTTCTAACACACATTATCATTAGAAGTTCACTGTATCTGTTAAGAATGAGATGGTAAAGTCAATATCAGCCCGGTGATAATGGCCTCATAGTTGGAAGATGTTTCATTCTGGTAGTTTATTTGCTTTTTAGAGTCAAAAATATATTTCAGAGCTTTGAGTTTCTCCCCAACATTCTATCGTTGTTCATAAAATATTCACAGTTGTCATTTAGTTAAGACAATCAAGATATTTATTGTAGTGTAAAACAAGCAAAGATCGGGCAAACAAACAAAATAATCCCAGTGTCTCTGGGTATAATTTGAAGTCACAACCCTGATTTAAGTGGCCCTTGTCTTGTACATTGTATGCACTTTATGGACACCCCGTATATTGTGGTAAATGCTGTTATTTGATATTGGCTGTTGCAGTGTACATGTCATTCTTCATTTTTCAGAACAGATAATATTTCCTATATCTATTCTAGAGAGTAAAATTTAAGCCTGAAGCATCACGTCAAAGCCCTCACTCTGCCTTTGCTTCTCCAGCCCCTCCTCTGCTGTGAGCACGTCACATTCACTGCGTTTTCCCTAAACACTGTGCTATCTCGAGTCAGTTCCACTTGCCTTTTTCTCATGTAATTCTTGGCCTATGTTTTGGTCTTTCTTCCATTCTTTTAGACTCTGCTTAAGTGTCTACTTGGTGGTCACTTAATCTTTCTGTGGTTTCACATGTCATGTCCATTGGTTTTACCCAGATGTCACATTCATTCTACCATTTTACTTACTTGTCATTAACAGTATGCTGTCTCCTCCTCCCATCCTCCCTATTCTTCTAGGTTTCAGGACTTAATAAATGTTTACTGGATAAATGAATATAATTCAAATAAATCAGTGTTTACTTTGCACAACACGTTATTTATAATAACAAAAGGCTGGATAATACACTAGGTCAGATGTAATGATAAAGTGTTATTTAGGTCAATTATGAACAATTAAGTATTTGTCAACATCATGACATTATATCTTAAGCTTAATAAGTCTTTGGGAACTTTTTATAACTGAATAACCACTCAGAACTTAATTCAGTCTGGCAAACTTAAATTTCCTAAGATAGTTTGAACATTGGTGAATACTCTTGGCTACTAAGAGTTGCTTTTTGAGGGGAGGCTAGAATTTGCAGCAACCTGGGGGCCTCATTAGGGTAGTATGGTTTATATTTTATTTTTTCACCATTTACCCAGGGCGGGATGTGGCTCATTTTAATTTGACAAACTCAGTTAATGTAAACTCAATTATAGTTTTAAAAAACACATGGTGATTATGGTACAATGGAATTTTTATTTTCTAGTTTGAGTTTCTATTACTTACTTTGGACTTTAACCCAACACAATGACCACTTCTTTTTATTGCAGTGGCTACGGATCATCACCCACCTTTTCTCAGATGGACAGAGAGCACAGTTCAAAACCAAGCGCAAAGGCCCTTTATGGTATGATTGTTTGTTGGATAGGGTATGATTCTGTATCTGTCCACTTTTTACAAATTATAGTTTCAAAGTCATAGTTGAAACACACACTCTGTTTATATTCTTTGGCATGAAGTGGTGATTGCTAGATAAGGATTATTTTGAAGAAGGATTTTTATAAAAGCTACCAAAGCTGTGCTTGCTGTTATCTAATTTAAAACTACAGATGAAATGTATTGCAGGGCTTTTGAAAGTCCTATGTGTGGCACTCGTGCTTACTTAGGCGGGTTTTCCCATTTACTATTATAACATTTGTTGATTTTCATGACGAATCCAGTTAATTGTGGGCTGACAGGTGACAAAATTTTTCTTTCTAGCTCTTCAACCTTTTGAGTAGTATTACATAGTGATTGGTGGTAGTTCTTATATAATTTCTTTCTGTACTGTAAAATAAGCTTTCTCTCAGATATTTCTCCAATGCCTTCTCTAGATTGTCTCAGATAGACATAATATTTTTTAAACTTAAAATATAAAATAGAAGTTATAAAAAAGTTGTTGAGAATCCCTGAAATATACCACATATGGTATGAAAGGCATTTGTCTATTCATAGTCTACATAGCCTTTAGTATTGCAGACAATAGAGAATCCCAGTAGTACTGTTAATAGCCAAGACTCTAGAACCAGACTTTTTAGTTTCACATCAAATTTCTGTTATCTATTAGTTGAATTAGCAAATTACCTGTCTGTGCCTCATTTTGCTTATCTGTATAATGAGGATATTTCCTAGGGTTGCTATGGAATACAATGAGTTAGTACACGTAAAATACTTAGAACAGTGCTTGGCAAGCAGAAAACACTATGTATTTTATATTATTATTTTTGATATTGTCATTGCTAGGAACCAAGAGCATTCTCTAAATTGCAGAATTCTTTTATTTTTACATTATCTAGATCTACAACTTCATGGCTGTGGTAAGAATGAATAATTTTAAGTTTTGGGGATTCTTTTTTTGCCTGTGTTCTTAATGGATTGGCAGTATCACTCAAATCATATGTTCATAAAATGGTTTTAATGCCATACATGGCCCCCCCTTTTTTATGTTCTTGTCAATCTGATTGGTATTGACAAGGTATTGACCAATGTTTCAATTTTTTGAGTGCTATATTAAAACATTCTTATACGGCCATGTGGTTGTGAATTGTAGAGCTAGAGAATGTAGTCAATAAATACTGATTAATATATGCTCAGTGTAGCACCAATAATATGATCTTTTACTTTAATGGATATGGTCTAGCGGGTGACTTGAAGATAAAAGGGATTTTTTTTTCTGATAAGAATTAGGTAATTTCTTCAGTCTTTTCATTTCTAGGCAGATATTTATTAAATGTATCCGTATGTAAGGCCCCAATCTTCATAGTTTCCATTTTCCTGATCTTTTATTCATTTTAAAGGTGAATAATGCAGGGTCATTGCCTGTGCACCATTTGGTGAGATAGACTAGTAAATACATTGTTATAATAAATAGCTCTGCAATCTACCCATAAAACCCAAGCACTTAGATCCACAGTAGTAGTTAACTAGATCTACTGAATTTCAGAGAACAGTCCTCTAAATTGTTTCCACAAAAACAATGGATGTGATTTAGTCATCATACTAGTTGACACATTTTACAGAATCAAAGCACAAAAGTCTTAAAACCATGTGGAAAAATGAGGTAAGTGTCGCAAAGTGGAGTATATTGCTTTAGATGCCTCTCATGAGAATATTACACCTGTGGTGCTCATAATACAAGTTGAGACTTAGTTGCTGCTGATCTTCCTCCATAAGTTAAGGGGTGCATCAGTCATGATCCAAGGTTTGCAGGCAATGTTACTACAGGTAGAAGTATTATAGAAAAGACTTCCAGAGAAATTAGGATAGTGAAACTTGAAAAGTAGTCTGATTTGAATTCTTGGTTTAAAACTTCAGTATAATTGTAGTTGGTCAACTTTATTTCAGTTCATATGTAAGGTATTTCTAATAAACTTTGAGACCATTTTTCATGAAAACGTGAAATCAATAACTAGTATATAGTTCTTTGCACTTTCTTGAAGAAATTATAAGCTAGGCACAGGGTTCATGTTCAGGTTGTAAGCACCTCTATAACAATGTAACTTCTTAGAGATGATTAACTTTCAATAGTTTGTTAACTTGACATCTGTGCCAATTTAGTTTCTGGGCAGATTTCTTGTGTCACTACTCCCCTTTGTCTTTTACATTAATCAAGGTGTTTGGCAGAAGTATAATCTAAATATTGTGTGTCCAGTTTTTACTTGTATGTGTACCCCGTTGCTGGTGCCTGCTCAGTGTTTGGTGCATAATCAGACCTTGAATCAAGTGTAAATACAGCTTTTTATCTAAGTGCTGTCATGCAAAGGTTTTTATTTTAATAATAAAATATTTTCTTGTAAACAAGTGATAAAGGGCTAAATGTACTTGGATGGCAGTGTGGATCAGATGCAGTGGGGGTGGTTAGTTCTTCTAAGTAGGAGTGTGGTCATAAAGGATATCACAGAGGACTTGGGCCTTAGGCTCTGAAAGGTCAGCTGTGTTCTGCAGGCATTTGGGGGGCGGGAGGACACTGTATGTCACCATATGAAAACTTTTAAGCTAGGCTGTCAACTCTGAAGGTGGCCAGTATTTGTCTGGATCACTTCAGGATTCCCTGTGCTTACTAGCGCAGTGGATGTTTAGTAAATACTTATAGAATGAATATAATAATTAATAACCTTCAAGCAGTTGGTGGAAAGTGCAAGGTGGCACTGGGAAATGAGATTGGAAAAGTGAACATAGACCACATTTGGAAGAATCGTATGAGGAATTTAGACATTGTTTACAGGTAGAGCAGCCTGTGATGAGTTTTAGTCAAGGTAGTAGTAGGTCACATCTATCTTGATTCACTCTAATAGCAATACTGATGTGTTTGATGGGTGTGGATAGCAGTGAATGAATCAGAGATTTAAGTAATGTAGTAAATGAGGCATCAACTAATAGCCCTAAGACTTTTATTAAGGAGAAAGAGTATTAATCTTCTCATAAGTAGCCATAGATGAAAAAGTCTACTTTCAGAGAGCTAATAAAGGAATCAGGGTAGAAAATAGGATGCGCCTGCATATTTTAATGTCTATATTATGTTAGGAGCAACTTCAAAAAAAATTTGAGATCCAAAATTGAAAATTTTCTTTTTTTAAGCAGTAAATTTTCACTCAAGCCAAGGACCCTTTTTAAGGTTAGATGATTTTTAAAAGTTATATAACTTAAAGATAACATATTATTATGGTAATAATTCTATGGTAAGTTTATATGAGGAAATATAAGTAAGGGCCCCGTCATGGGACCAGGAATGGGTACTGAAGAGTTGCTTTTTGTCCTGGGTATCAGATTCATCAAGGTCCTCAAATTTAATTTTTATTACCTCTAAATGATGTTATACGGTACATCTAAACAAAGTGATACTCTGTCATGATCAAGAGGTAACCTTCATCATATATTTTTAAATTTATGTTCCAGACATCACTCTCTATAGTACTCTAGAAATATATTTTAATAAATCCTGTAAATTTTATTGTGAACTATACTTTTATACAATAGTAAATCTGCTTTGGGGGGGATGTATGTTAATTCATTCAATGAAAGCACTTAAAATATGCTACGGTTTTAAGGACTTTGTTTTGTCATTCCTCATTATACAAGACCTTTCTAAGCCAGCAAGCGATCACTGTCATCCCTGACCAAGTAACACTAACTAGGAAAACAAATATTAGTTTCTTTCTCCTCCACTTATTTCATGAGACTAGGGTGATCAGTGACTGCTATCAGAGAATTGGAAATTTTCTCTTTTTCTTTTTCAGCTAGTTTGTCAAAGTCTTTTAGCACGAAATCTTAAAATCATTTTTATGGGCAATACTTGTAAAATAAATAGTCCCTTCCCTTGGGTGTGGCATCTGTCACCTCTTGTTGATGACTCAAAGGGTCATGTGTGTGCACACTATCTTATGTGCTGTGATATTCTTGGAAGCTGCCTCCCTTACCTTTACACCGTATCATTCAGAATATTTTCCCTTTTGATTATTTGGGGATGCTTTTTCCATGTGTCTGTATCCCAGGCCTGTCACTTCTCCATGTCGTTAACATGCCTGTGTCTAGCATTTCTTTTCATATATTTGGGCTGGAAAACTGGATAGAAATAGTAATAGGTTACAGGTGGGGAATTAACAGTCTTTCTATTAGCTTATACTTTAAAATGTGCAAATTTTAATGTATAGACAGGGTGACATCTCTACCACCACTCAGAGGACTTACTTAAGTATGAGTTTTCTGCTATGTTCTGAGTAGCTGAACTTCCTAGAAAAGATCAAGGTCACCTTAAATCAGCTATCACTGAATTTGGAATATGACTATTTGCCATAAATAACCAGCTGCTTTGAGTCATCTCATCTCCAAAAAGACTCACATTTCACAGAATTACCGACTCATGGTACTTTGTTGTTATTCCCAATACTTGTAGTAATGTTGAGATTCACATTATTAAGTAAATACGATAGTCACTCTCTCAAATCTCATTTCAACCTTAAGTTTTCTGATATTAACGACAAATAGGAAAATATATTTGTGTTTTTTTCTGCTTTTCTTTTTCTTCTCTGAGAGATAATGATAAGAATTGAATATAAGAACCTATATTTGGCTTGAGAATGTGCAAAAGCAGCAAAAGTCACTTTGGCAGTTTTCCCAACTTCACTGAAAAGTTTAAAGCTTCTTTTAATTTCCTAGGATAAGCCATTTTAATGATTTGTTGAGCAGGAATAAAATTAGTTTAAATGATGTACCCTTAAAAAATGACCTTGTTTGTTTTTTAACAAACAGTAACAATACCTTGGTTAAGTTTTTTTTTAATTTTTTTATTAAATCATAGCAGTGTACATTAATACTATCATGGGGTACAGTGTACTGTTTCTGTTTACAATTTGAAATATTTTCATCCAA